ACGTCTTTTCATTGCAAAATATAAAGAGATAAAAAGATAAAAAGGGAAAGAGAGAGGGAGAGAGAGAGAGAGAGAAGAATAGAAGAAAATAGGAAAAACAAGAGAACAAAAGTGAAAGTGAGAAGACATCTATTTTCAATATTTTTCGCTTTGATAAAATGTCTTATCGATCGATGAATATGAAAAAGAAAACATACTCCTTCGTGTATTCTCTGTAATTGCAAATTTCCCTTTTTAACTTAACTCTTTCCTAACTCGAATATTAATTCTCAGACTATAAGAATAATGAACGATCGTAGGAGCAAAAGGAAGTAAAAGAAGAAGAAGAAGAGGAGGAAGATGAAGAAGAAGAAGAAGAAGAAGAAGAAAAAAGGAGAGATAGAAAAAGAAAGAAGAAAAAAAAAGAACTTAAAATTATCTTAATCGAGCCGAAATATTTTGCTAAAAATCTCGAAAAGTTTTGAAGATCGTCGAAGATATTTAGAAACGTTTATTAATACGTATTTATACATATAAGTATTGTAGAATATTCATGATCGGTCTTGTCGATCGTTCGGTGTATAAATAAAAATGATAAGATGATAAAAATTGTCCCGGCGGTATATATATATATATATATATATATATATATATATGTATGCATGTATATATATATATACTACGTGAAAATGACGTACGTGATTTACCGGAACGACGAGTCTAGAGCATAGCGAATAAATAAAGAATGTATTTTATGATATTTTATGCATAAACAAGGGGAAAAAAAAAATCACGATTGTAAGTCGATATAGCGATAGTCCAATATAAAATTTAAGTAGAATTGTATAAAGTGAATAAGGATAAAGGGAGGAGCAGATAAAGAAGAGGGAGGAGAGAGAGAGAGAGAGAGAGAGAGAGAGAGAGAGAGAGAGAGAGAGAGAGAGAGAGAGAGAGAGAGACAGACAGACAGACAGACAGACAGACAGAAAGAAAGAAAGAGAAAGAGAAAAAGAAAAAGAAAGAAAGACAGAGACAATGTGTAAAACGTATAGCATCATTCGATCGTCGGCCAAATCGAAAACTATCGCGATTTCTATGGCAAAATTCGATGCTCGGAATCGTACGATTGACAGAACCGCAGGCCGGTGATTCTACTTTCGGAAACGATCGAAAAATTGGTGTTCCCGTTGGAAACGTTGTTAATACGTATCGCCATGGTCAATTACAAGCTCACCCTCCACCTCCTCCTGCCACCCTCTCACCATTTTTCCCTCCGCAAAACCTCCTCCACTACTCTCTTGCTCTCTCTCACTCTCTCCCTCTCCCTCTCCCTCTCCCTCCCTCCACCGACCTCACATTTTCCAATGGAAAATTTCCGATCCGATTTTCCTTCGAACCATACCATACGCTTAACTCGTGACAATTCTGATAATCAGTTTATACGCTCCAATTCTTGCTCGCCGAAGAGATTTCGATCGTTTCAATTGCATTCCTAGAGAGAAAGAGATAGATAGATAAATAGATAGATAGAGAGAAAGAGAGAGAGAGAGAGAGAGAGAGAGAGAGAAGCAAAAAGAGAGATAGACTCATTTAATGACGACTATCGAAGCGATCGGAACGAAACAAACGTCTAGTATTGCCATAGGCGTAACAAAACTAACCGATCGAATTCTCATTGTTTCCAACTGGGACTTCAAAAAACTTACGATCGAACAAATTTTCCAAAGTTTGTTCCCGGCTTTATCAGGAATCCTGAACAATTGCGATATTAATAACAATGCTAATGTAAAATATTGTATATTGTTTCGCGTTATTTATTTTTCAGTGTTTTTAATAGATGCGCGTTTATACGGTATTCTCTAAAAACAAACGTTATTGCATAATGTTATTGGGACGCGACTCGACCGACCCTCTGTCCTGCTGTCCCGCATCACTCGCGACGATTTATCATTCACGGTATTATTTTCTTTTTAAACCAAAGTATATGTATATACATACGTACGTACAATACATACATAAATACATATGTATATGTACACTTATATATGTACTTGGTGCGAATGAACGATGAAAATACAAGGGGAAGAGAGAAAGAGAGAGGGAGAGAGAGAGAGAGAGAGAAAGAGAGAGAGAGAGATAGAGAGAGAGAAAGAGAGAGAGAGAGAATTACGTGATACGTAGAATAAATAACGTCCAAAATTTTCGTTCCTAATATCGTCGACGATAAATGCATCGTTTGCTCGCATACGAAATAGACTCCTATGTTAATTTCTAAAGCGTTTTCATCTGCATTATATAATCCAACGTTTTGTTATTCTTATGTAGATATTCGTATACATAATGTATGTGTTGATCTTCGGATGATTCAACGTCGATGTAAATATTGAGTTGCGATTCTGATTAGATTTTAATTAGACTTTTTAAGCGTGATTAGGGATCCTCTATTCGGTTTAATTTTACGCAGATTCTTTGAGTTTAGTTGAAAAGGAGAAAAAGAAAAAAGAAGAAAAAAATGAAAAAATGAAAAGGTAAAAAAAAATGGAAGGAAGGAAGGAAGGAAGGAAAGAAAAAAAAGGAGAAAAGAAAAGAAAAGAGAAAAGAGAGAGAGAGAGAGAGAGAGAGAGAGAGAGAGAGAGAAGAGAAGGAAGAAAAATGATGATATTCCCTATTATATACCGATAATAAATCTACGAAATATTTTTATTCTTCGCCTGCGTGGGATCACTTATGTGGGACAGTGGATCAAGAAGATTAGTATGTTTATAAACTTCAACGTAACTCCAACAGCTTTTGCAGTGTGTGAAGTAACCCGAATCCAGTGTAAACTAGTCTAGGACACGTTTAAGTATGTATGGCTTGGAGTGCAGAGAGATATTGCGAACGTACGATCCGTCCACCATCGGAGTAATGTTCTAGCAGAGCTCGCTTAGAAAAAGGTCTCACGGGGGTCGAACGAGAACAAAGCTTTTCATTCGGACAAAAAAAAAAAAAAAAAAAAAAAACTGTTATCTCGTTTTGTTCCTTTTTGTTTTGTAAACTTTCATTCATATTTCATTGATTAACGAACAACGACTGTTTTGTTCTTTTTTTCTTTTTTTTCTTTTTTTCTTTTTTTCTTTTTTTCTTTTTTCATATCGATCGTCGTCGTTCATTCGCCGAACGAATCAAAACCAAAGTTAAAACTATGCTTTAATTGAAACAATACGTTTTATTTCTCTGTGATCATCGTTGACGTCAACGATTCGTACAATTTTACGAATACAATTCATTTCCTGATTCTAAAGTCCAAAAAAAAGAAGAAAAAAAAAAAAAAGACAGAGGAAGAAAGAAAAAAACGAATGGATAGTTAAATAATAACGTACGTAATTCATTTGAATTTGCGGTTCTCGTAAATGATTCTAAACGTTTCGATGTAATTTTCTACGTCGTTTCGAGGATTGCGATTTTAAACGATCCCCGCGAGAACAGCGATGCGACAACAACGATGGAAGGATTCGAATCGTGCGATGTGTGCTCGCGAGAGAGAACATAACGGCAAATTATGTCGCTCCGATAGATCTTAATAGCGGAGAAAGTGCACTAAATGAACCTAAGGCTAATCTCTAGCAGCACGAAGTATTAACGTTAATAGCGAAATTATATTGTAAAGGAGCGAGGAAGCCATTAAATACTATGCATAGGCCACTCCTAACGTTTCCTATGTATAGAGAGGTACGTCGAAAACGAGAGCCGCATTCTTTTCGCAATGTCTGTCTCTAAAGAGATCGTTCGAGCGAGGAAAATGAACGAAAAAGAAAAAAAGAAAAAAAAAAGAGAAAAAAAAAAGAAAAAAAAAGAGAAAAAAATTAATTAATTAATAAATAAATAAATAAATAAATAAATAAATAAATAAATAAAACTAAAGAATAATAATAAAATTGATATAACGAAGGGAAAAGAAGATCTCGGATTTGACAATGCGAAGAGAAAAACGTCGATCGTGCGTCCATTGTGACGAGTACCAAAGATCGGACATCGCGGGATGATAAACAATAGTACTTTAAAAAGTTAAATAAGAAGCGCAGAAGTTTCTACCGTCTTTTTTTCGATCATGGCAGAAAGAGGAAAACGCACATTCATACATACATACACACATACACACACAAACACGCGCGCGCACACACACGCACATATTATATATATATACACATACACATACACATACATACATTCGTACATACTTGTACTAACACGTTTATGCGACATACATAAGAGAAAAGAAAGAAAGAAAAAAAAAGAAACAGAAAAAAAAACAGAAAAAAAACCGCAAAAGCAAGAAGGAAAAATTGAACAAAAAAAGAAAAATTAAGAAAAAAAACGTTTCACGACCGATCTACGTATATTTACTCGTACGCCGTATTCCACGATAGTCCTCAGTTATTTCTTTTCTTCAAAAAATATTTATAAGTATTCCGATAAATCCGAGAGAGAGAGAGAGAGAGAGAGAGAGAGAGAGAGAGAGAGAGAGAGACCGGATTCAAAACTAATGGTATTAAAGGAAAAAAGAAGGAGAAAGAAGAAGGGGAAAAAAAAAAGAAAAAAAATGATATAATAAATTTATTCCAATTTGATCTATGTAAAAGTACTTGTACATGTCGTGGCGCTTGTCGTGGAAAATGAAAGAAAAGTGATATTATTTATTTGCGAATTTGATAAGCGGCAAAATCGCCAAAGAAAGGTCTTTGTTTATTATAATTGTGTATCTGATATGCTTTATCAATCGAAATATTATTATTACTTTGTTAAATGTAACGGTCAATTATGTTCTAAATAAAATCTGCCAAGATTCTTGTGAAACTTTTTCATTTTCAATCATTATATATATTTTTATATGATATCAACGAAACAATAAGTCAATGAATAAATTATCAATGAATGAAATATCAATGAATCAATATTTTCATTGATATTTTATCAATGAATCAATAACTTCATTGATATTTTATCAATGAAAAGATTAGTAATAGTAGTATTTCTCTTACCGACAATTTCTCTGCCGATAACTGGATCTACAGGATCTATTTACGATATAACGATACATAATTTCATCGTCGTAACTTTGGAAGTCTTGTAACTGTAAAATAAACAATACGTATTATTATCTGTTAATATAAATAAAAATTAATGGAATATTTAAAGAAATTCTTTCAACTATCGAAGGATGGTATTTATATACAATGGTAATTTACCGACAGTTACATCTAACCTTTCTTACGAAAAACGAACGATTCTAAAAGTACGTTTTATATTAATACATATATATATATATATATATATGTATACGTCTTTATATATGTGTCTTTAAAGAAAAATTTCTTCTTTGATGTACCCTTTCTAATTCATTTTATATCGGTTTTAAGTTCTTAATAAAAGCATTTGTTGATATACAAATCTTATAAGTTACAAAATTCGTAATAAATAGAAATCGCAAATCTCTAAATAGTTTCTACGCCATATTCTCTCTTTGAAAATGTTTTCACTTAATTTTACTTAATCTATATCTAATCTATTATTACCAAATAAAAAATATATACCTACGTTAATAGGGTGATATTATGATGTATTAATATTACGTTAAATAATGCTTTTAAGAAAAATATAAGCGGAAATTAATAAGCGAACGTAGTAAACACGCACGTTTGAACTCGCGTTAAAATCGTAATGGCTTCTGTCGGCTATTATCAGATTTTGTCAGCAGGTGGCTCTGGCGTACGTTTATTAGCCAATAGCAGGACGATTCAATAAATCGAAGAAGAGATGGCGATTGGTATTTCCTTCGGTAGTCTGAGATAGAAAGAAAGTTTCTGATTTCTTCAATTTTATTTCTATTACTTCGACAAACTTATTATTTTTAACATATTTAACAACTTCACTTACGGAATTGCAGGTACGTAAACTTAAATTTTTACATCCATGATATTTAGTTTCTATGAAAAATGTATGTAGTCGACATACGTGCAATCCTTTGTTAAGAGTAACAAGCCGAACGCGTGCTTTTTAATTTGCCAGTAATTAAAATATTGAAATACAGTATATTCGATAAATAAATAATAATAGAAAGCATCGTAAGCATTGTAATGAAATAATCAATGCTATATATTTATATATTTTACAAACTTACGATATTAGAAAGATGTATGTTAAGTTTTAAGTAATATAGGTTAAGTTTTACATCATCTCCATTATGGTCAATGAATTATTGAATATATTATTATTTTAATAATTATATGATTATTTAAATCAACTGAGTCATCCATGATCCCTTTTTTGCACTTGATGAAAATAAAAAATAAAAAAAAAATACTCACTTTAATCGTTTAAATATATTTTATAAAACTGAAAAAAAGATTGAGAAAGAAATAACGTTACATTTTATTTTTGAAACTGTATTATCACAATTGATCTTGTATAATATATATCATTGAAAAATTACTTTTTAATTATATTACTAAATAAAACAGATATAATATAAAAGGAAGATTATAGAATTCATTATCAGAAAAGTGCTAATCAGGTTTGATATCTTTTTCAGAATGTCCAGCCGAGAAGGAGGTAAGAAGAAACCATTGAAGGCACCGAAGAAGGATTCTAAAGAGTTAGATGATGAAGATGTAGCTTTCAAGCAAAAACAAAAGGAACAACAAAAGGCATTGGCGGAAGCAGCCAAGAAGGCTAGCCAAAAGGGTCCTTTAGTTACTGGCGGTATCAAGAAGTCTGGCAAAAAGTGATTGATTCTTATAAAAGAGCATTGTTTAAAAATCTATCACCATGATCACTTTACAAAATGTGTTCCGATAATGTTACAGCTTTGTTATCGTTCAATGATCAACGTGCTGTTCGAAATATTTTTACCATCATTATTCGCTCCGTCAGTTATTTGTAAATAAAATTGATAATAGATAAAAATTCAATAGATTATAATATCTCACGATATTTGTACTTTAGCATGGATTCGATTGAAGATTTTATATTTCTTAAGTCGAACAAAAGTCACGCCTTGTGTCATTCTTGTCTAAGTAACACAGATATTATTTTATACGATAAAATACGATAAAAACGAGCAACGATGGAGCGAGCGAGCAAGCGAGCAAGCTCGAAAGAAAAGCGAAAGAAAAAGAAAAAATCGACAATACTTCTTATTGATTTTTCTTTTCTTTTTCTTTTCTTTTTTTACGAAACGTAAAGAAAATTCCTAAAGTACATTCAGCTCGTCGTTTTATTATTACATTTAATAAATAAGAACGCCCCCGTATGATTTTGTACTTTTATTTAGAATTAATTAATTTAAATGCTATCGTGTTATTACGTGTTTATGTACATTGTACATAAATACACATGTACACTCGTTTATATAATCAATCTCGTGAGTCAACGCTTTTCTTTTTCCGATCGTTCCACATATCCACGTCATCATAGACTCAATGATGTACCTAGCTTTATATATATTAAGCTTCATACAGGTTTGATATCGCTCATTAAGTT